CATTTTGATTTAGGTGAAATGTACATCTTTGAGTTAAGTCTGTAGTTTGAAAACGCAGCTGTTTAGTCTGACTGCCTGTCCTCGTAACAAGCCTAGGCTGGGAGAAACTACTTCAGCCAAAGGACAGAGATAAATAGAGAAAAGACAGAGAGACTGCTATGAGAGCAGGTCAACCTGCCCCAGGAATTATTTCTGATAAAGAAAAATTAGCAGCAAGTGTCACACAAAATCTGTAAAAATGAATATGCACGAACCTGTTGTGAAATTGCTTGCATATGTATTTGAGAAAGGGATAAAAAAGGATCTGGAATTCTGTAGATAGATCCACTTTGCCCATAATCACCAAAACCAAAGGGAAGATGTGGATGCAAAGGCATCTGAGCAGTTCTGCTATCAGCAGGGAGAAGTGTAAAGTACATGGGTGATTATTTTTTTTTAAATAGGGCAGAGACTCATCTTTTACCACCCTCAAAGAATGTGTAAAATACACTGAATTATCACCACACCACACAAGTGGTGTTGTGGCACTCTGGGCTAAGTACTGGGTCCTGCCTGAGGTTGTCTTTGTTTCTCATTTCTTTCCTAGGCAAGAAAGAAAGAAATCCCCTGGTATTTGGTTGTTTTCAGTGTGATTACTCAACACCATGACTCAGGTGATCCTTTGTGTTTCTTCTGAGGCACCTTAGGGGGGAGAAACTCCCTGACAGAATGTGCAGAGCTACATTAATGTGGCTTCGTAGAGGGCTCTCATCACAATGCACTGTGTATTAAATGAGCTTCCCTCCAGTAAAATGTTCACCTACAATTTATGGGTCTTTTTAGCCACTACATTAGGGGTAATCTGCCAATATGAAATAATTGAATCAGCCCATAAATGTGGGACAGGGGATGGCAGCAATGGGAGCTTCCATGGGAGAAGTGCATGGAAAACTGCATGCAAAACTGCAGCCTGCCCTCTGGCAGCCTCTGTGCACATCACACCTGGGAGTTTTCCTTAACTAATCCTGCTTCAATTCTGAACTCAAAGCAAACAGGGCACATACTTATCTGGTACTGCAGAATGTAGCCAGTGAGGTGACCATTGGCCTTCTTGGGAAGCCCCCAGGACAGAGTGACTGAGTCCTGGTCAAAGTTCAGGATCCTGAGAAAACGTGGTTGTTCAGGGACTGGAAGACACAGAGATGAGCTTTCAGAGGAGAGTGAACTGGTCTGTCCCTACAAATTCTTGTTAAATGAGGATATAATTTAGCTCAGCACCCACAGCTCCCCTTTCGAGTGAAGTGCTCTACAAATGGTGGAGTTTTTACTATCACCTTAAATAAGGCAATCAACTCACCTTGTCCCAAGGACAATTTCAATTTATGTCCCTCCATCCCATATTTTCCTCTTGTCTTACCTCCTTCTGGAGTTTCAAAAAACACAGGGGAGCTCTCAGGGCCGTCTCCTCTGGAGGTGAAAGCCGAAACTGTCAAGCGGAATTCACTGAAGGGATCCAGGCCAGGAATCATCCCAGAGGTCCTGTCTCCTACAAACGTCAGGAAGTGTTTCTCTGGGTGATGCCTCTTTCCATCCAGCATGCTTCTTGTCTTCCACCAGTTCACCTGCCAGGAGATTGGGATTTCTATTAACAAATTATATTGTACGGGGATGAGCATGATCATGATCTCTCTCACCGGCCCAAAAATGAGAGATCGCAATCTGGAACTCATTTAATAATTTATTCAACTATATACAAATATTTATAGAGAGATTTGTAACCTTGTAGCCTCCTAAGTGCCCACGAACTCTGTCCCTCGGTATCCCCGACCAGAAGACTTCGACCAGGGTGCTGTTGATGACTTCCACCGAGACGCGCGCAGGAGCAGCATCTGGAACTGTAAAAACAAAAGTCTCAGGTGTTAAAAACACTTCCAAGAGCCCAGATTCACACTGTTCCCAGCTCCAGGGCTTGGCTTTCCAGCTCCAGCTGTGCCATTTCATGCAGTCTCACTGCAGGCAAGCAAAAAGCCATTCCACCTGCATCCAGTGAGTGGAATGGGCCAATAAACATTACTTTTCTGTATTTTTCTGCTGAGGGTTGAGATACATGTGTACTGGGACACATGAATTTCTACACCAGTATTTATGATTTCCTGTTTCAAGCAATGCTTACAGCAGTGAGAAGAATAAAAAAAATGATTAACACAGCACTCAAGAAGGCAATCATAAAGGTTTTTTTTATAATCAATTTCATTTTACAACTAAGCTCATTAAACAGTAGGATTTTAATCACTGCATAACACAGAGAGCTATTACAGTGCCTGAAAAAAAGGAGGCCTTGATCCATTGACAACTGAATTGCGAGGAAGATTTTGCACTGCTAGATGCAAAATTAGACTCATCACAGAGAGACAAAGAAAATAAACATTCTGCCGAGTTTCTTTATTCTTTTTCTCACTATTCACCACCTCTTCTGCACCACCAGACCTTCCTGTTGCCACCTCTGGGTGGGCAGTGGGGATTCTCCTGTCTGACCACCACCAAGTCCATTTCCAGCACTGAAACTCCATGTGGGAGCCATGGAAAACAATGGGGCAGAACCCAGGCTGGAGAGGATGACACATTCTGCAGGAACTCATGGATGAGGTAACACCAGCACACATGGGAATGTGGCTTTGTCTGCAAATTCACTCAAACACCCAGTGCCTGCCAGTTTGTCCCTAATTGTCAGAGTATTTAACTTCTGACAGCGTTAAACTGTTGGGTCAAGACTCAGAGAGCCCAAACATTTTTTCCCTACCAAGTACAACCCGACTGCTACACTTCAGAGACTTCTCATGGACTGTGGCCTTCAAACAAGTGCCCAGACTAAGCCAACAACTGAGATTAATGAGAGCACAAGTGACCTTTCCAAAAAACCCCTCACACTCCAGCAGGCTGGCAGCCAGGCACCCAGCATGGGTCATGTCCATGCCTCATGGAGCCCATCAGGCTGAGCATGGCATTCCAGCTGCTTTGGGCTGCCCAATCCATCACCCCACACCCGAGCACTGTGGAGAGCTTTAATGTGGAGAGCTTTATTAATAGTTGGTTAGCTGAGAAAGGCCATGCTGACATATTGCCACTGGTCAAGCTGAGAAATCAGCAGTCAGCAAGCTGAAAGGAGATGTCAGCAGCTTGCAATCAGTGGCCTTGCTGCAACATGGAGAAAGGGAGTAGAGATTAGTCCTGAATATCTCCTAAGAATATGTAGAAAGTATCAAAAGTAGGACCATAGGAATGTAAAAGTAGGTGTAACTGCTGATATGTAACTAACCAATCCTGAGCTCAACTTTTGCAATATGCATGAAGTTAATTACGAACTGTATTTAACCCGCTGTGCTGATCAATAAAATTGGGCCTGTGATGATCAACTGGATGTCCTGGTCTCCTTCTGTCGACAGAGCACAAGAAACCCCCATTTTTACAGCCAAGCTCCTGCCACTCACCGTCCTCTCCTGAATATCCAATGGTGATGTTTGGTTCTGGGCCGGATCCTAAATTGTTCACAGCCTGCACTTTGATCTCGTAGGGCACGAAGGTGGGCACGTTCCGCACGCTCAGGGAGTGCTTCTTCACCAGCTCCTCGTTCCAGTCCGTCTCCACACCCCGCTGCCTCCAGCTGACCTTGTACTCCAGCCCCGGCCCGTTCCTCTCCATGGGCTTCAGTGGCTGGGGAGAACCAAAAGAGATCTTGTCTGCTTTTGTTGTAATCACAAAACAGCAGCTGAGGGGAGAGGGGATGGTTTTGTGTCACTCTAGTGTGGTGGGGTTCACAGGGGTCCCAGGATGAGGGAAGAGATGAGAATCTTGACTCCATGTTTCAGAAGGCTGATTTATTATTTTATGATATATATTAGATTAAAGGAAATGACATATTATAACTACACTAAAGAATAGAAGGAAGGATTTCATCAGAAGGCTAGCAAGGAAAGGAAAGGAATGATAATAAAATCTTGTGACTGCTCACAGCCTTGACACAGGTGGCTGTCATTGGTCATCAGATAAAAACAATTTCCCATGCTGGATAAACAATTCTCCAAATCACATTGCAAAGCAGCAAAACGTGGAGAAGCTGAAGCTTCTCAGATTCTCAGGAGAAAAGATCCTAATAAAAGGATTTTTCATAAAATATGTCTGTGACATTCTAGGACATGAAATAAAACGACATGCACGCTGGAACCTCCAAAGTAAAAAGAAGGGAAGTTTATTTTCTGACCCAAACATTTACAGACTTTCAAAAGTGACAGTGGATTGGAGGATGAAAGTGCCACCTCTCCAATGACACTGGACAAGACAACAGTCCATCAAATTTCTCCTCCTCCAGAGAAGAATGTAAAACCAATAATTATTTACATAAAGTGACTGAGGAAGTTCATTACAAGAATGTAAACATCAGAAGGTTTACAAGAACTTAGAAGAACAGGGTGGCAGTTTTGGAATGTGTGTTTCAACACTGGGAGAGAAAAGGGGCAAAACCCCCAAGCTTTGAGTTTTTTTGCTGTCATTTTAATTTGAGGGTGATTGTAACAACAACAACATGATTTCAAGAGAAAGGGGAGTGAAAGGCTTGGATTAAAATCCGGATTAATTGCTAGGAGCCGTATTTCTGCCTCCTACACACATCAGGTTTTGTTTTGCCACAGGTTTTCCTGTGTGAGGTAAAACCACACGCCTTCAGCACTACTGAATTGCACAGTTTGGCATAAGGCTGTGTGTGCCTTTTAGCTGAGATAAAATTTGCATTTTATCCTAGAGTTTTATGTAGCACAGCAAGTTGGGCCATTAAAATTTAGATTTCTTCTAACTACACACCAAATGGTTGAAATTACGCCTGGACATTTAATGTGCAACTGCTGGGCCACTCTGCTTTTACCAATCAGCTGGAGAATTCATCCCAGCAGGGTTTCCAGCTAATTAACAGGAATTTATAAAATATTAGGAGATGTATAGCAATAACTTGTCATGAGACATCCTCAAGTTGAGTTTATTTCCCTGAAAATGCACTACTTTAATTAAGAAAGTTAAATAATCACCTACCCTACCAAAAAAGCTAAACACTGGAAGAGCTGTGGGTGTTTCCCACCATATAGGCTGGTTTTAATAATATTTAAATATAGGCAAATATGAAATATATAACAGCTGGTTTGTTTCCAAGAGGTCTGACAGGAAATAGCATCAAATACCAGTAGAAAGTTATTTCCCTTTGATGTTCCCCATGCACAGGGAGAACTAAAGTTGGGGGATCTGCAAAAATTCCCACTGATCTGCTCTGCTGTCAGGACCTTTGGGATATCTGAGGCAAAGGGAATTGGGAGATTGGGCAGCTTTCTCACAGGCACCACCTCCACAGCAAAAATCCCAGGGAATGGGATTTGCAAGAAAAGCTGGAGAAGTAAAAAATTCCTCCTAAAAATCTGATTTCTTGGATAGATATAAATTGCAGCACTGCTTGACTCTTATTTTGATCTCCCTTCAAGCTGCAAATCCTTGCCTGAAAATCCCAGTCACTAAAGCTCAGCTGGTCTCTCAATCCAAAATAGGCAGATTAACATCATTCTGCAGCATTTGTCTGTCAGAAACAGCCTGTGCAGTGCCCAGCAGTCCCTCCGAAAAGCACACAGGAAATGCCATAAATAAATGAATATCCTGTTTAACAACATTTTAATGATTCAACAGGATTTAACCAAGCCCTTCCATCCCATTCTCTCCCTTCAGGCTCAGCTTTCACTTCCACTTTTGCCCTGTCTGAGCAGTGATTATGAAGTTCCTGGTGCTCAAATCTCAGTATTTCCCAGTAAACATACTGGGTAATAAAACTCTGCATTTCTTCAATTCCTTAAAGTTGGAAAAGACCTCCAAGATCAAACCCAAGCTTTTCTGAGAGGCAGAATTGTCTCTTCTGACCCTGGGCAAAAATCCCATTCAAGTTCCAAACCCATGGATCTTGAGGGCCATTTAATTTTGGACACAATTCTACCCCACTGGGGAAAAATCTGTTGTTCTTCACTGGGAGCAGCAGATTGAGGAGTAAATCTCATGCAAATTGTGTGTAATTCCAGCCTCAACAAAAACCTGCTTCCCTCCACAGTTGTGGATATTTGTGCTAAATGAAGGAATACATAACTTAACTGCTGGCACAGAAGCTCAAGGCTTAAAACCCAGGAAATGTGAAGCCTGGAAACCATCCTCAAGACTTTTACATAATTCCTTTGATGCACATCACAGGCTTTGGAGGTTTATCCACATTCCTTTAGTTCTTGGTGTAAAAATTCAAGCTCACATTCTCTTGGGCAAGGGATCTGTGGTGTTTTAAAACTTCCAGGCTGCAAGGGCAGGAGCCGTGAGCCTCCCATCCCCTCCCTGGGCCTGGCTGGTAATTTTAATTGCAGAAGCAGTTTCTTGCATAAAAGAAGCAGAGAAGAACAAATTCTGGTGAATTCTCACCGTGCTTTACAGGAATTCTATATTTTTTTAATATCTTCTGAAGTCAGACATAAAAACCAGGCTTTTGAACTAAAAATGATAGCGGGGTTGAAAATGCAGAATAAATTTAAGTCAAATTCATCTTTCAGAGGAATAAAGGATCATTCCTATAGGATTTGCTAATCTTGCCTTACCTCCCATTTCATCACCATTTCATTGGGCTCAGAAGCTTCAACTCGGATGTTCTCTGGGTTTTTATCTGGAGCTGAAACCACACAGGTGACAAGGTCAGTTTGCACATCGCGTTTATTTGCATTTAGCATTCAAATGCCAAAAAGAATGGGAATCTCCCCTGTTAGTGACAGACACTTAAACAAAAAACGTTCACAAGATGAATGGCTTGGATCAGCAAAGCTGATGGGACCCAAGCACGTTGTTTATGCAGTTTGGATTCCTAAGTGTCCCTGTTGGTTGGAGCCACCAGCTAACATGGAACCGTGACTTTTGGATTTGAAAGCACCAGATGTGGGGGGATTATGAGAAAGAGATTTTTCTCCCTGTGGGGATAGCAAACAGAAGGTGAATCATTAGAGGTGCACACACAGCTGGAAAGCTGAGGAGGGAACTGAAATTGGTGCAAATGGGGGGAAAAAAGAGAGAAAATGCCAAGGAATGCAAATGCTGTGCTGAACAGTTGGCCTCTAAAATGACTTTCAGGGAGACAACATTTTCTGCCCCAGTGAATGCTCTGTAAATGGAGATTTTTGCTCCTGGAAGGCTCCTTCTAAATCCAGCTCTTCTGCAGGAACTGTTTGTCCATGATGGTCTGCAAAGGGTGGAAAATCAGCAGAGTGAGGCGCTGGAGGTGTAGGAAAACTCAGCAGCATGGACTCCTCCCTTTGGCACCCTCAGGAATTTTATGCAGCACAGCAAGTTGGGTCATTAAAATTTAGATTTGTTCTAACTGCACATCAAATGCTCAAAACAACGCCTGGACATTTGATGTGCAACTGCTGGGCTGCTCTTTTTTACCAATCACTGAAGAATTCACCCCAGCAGGGTTCCCATCTCATTAATATCTACAATATCAGAATATAGCTTGTCACCAGACGTCCTCCAGATGATTTTACCTCTCTGAAAATGCACTGTTTTAGTTAATAAAGTCAATTTAAGTGGTCATCTGCCACACCAAAATTACTGAGGGTTATTCCAGTCCACCAAACCAGCTGGGGGCAATTCCCACCACAAGATCTACTTTTAATAATCCCTGAGGCTGCCACTGAGCAGTGCAAGCTCCCCTGATTCCTTCACACTCTCTGGAGCATGGGAGGGCACAGATATTCCAAAAAAAGCACAGAAAATACAGATATTTAGGAAAGCAGAGCCAGGTTTACCAGCTGGAGGGGTCGCATAGCGCAGGGATGGTTTGCTGGGCTGGCTCCTGCCCACGGCGTTGACGGACACCACGCGGAACTGGTAATTCACATATGGGGACAGGGGCAGCAGGGCTGTGCTGTCATTCCCTGGCACTCTGATGAGCTCCTGCCACATCTCCGGCTCCCAGTGGTTCTCTTCAAACTCTATAATTGACTCTGAGCAGGAAAAAGGACAAAAAAAAAAAGATTAAAAATCCAACTTCGCGTGAACAGCGCGGGTGGAAATGAACTTGCAACAAAAGAACTGCCACGGCTAAAGTATTTAAATCTAGCCATCAGCAGGGTTTGTGACAACCAAAACATCCCAGAATTTTAAACAGCTCTAAAAAGTTATGCTGGAAACCCCTTCCTACCATTCACAGGGCTGTTATGGTTGGCCCCAGCTCTCCAGGAGAGTCGAACACTCCGGTTTTGGTTTTCTGAGAGCTGGAGATCTTCTGGTGGGTCAGGAACATCTGAGAAAGAAAGGAGAAGTGTCAGGAGCACAACAAGTTATTTCTGTTTGTCCTGGCATTTTCCAGAGGGCTGGAACAGCACAGTCAGTGAAGATGGTGAAACTCCTTCTGATTTCAAGATGGACAGGTTGGGGAAAGTGGGAATTGCTTAGAAAGACCTCTCATCTTCAGGTGCTGATTTTTGCCTTAAACATAGAATCCTTTTAGAATTCATTTCCCCCTACCTGCATTATTTTGCTTGCAACAACAGATTTTTTTTTTTCCAAGTCAACCCCAAGGTTTGCTCAGTCATTAATGGGTACTGACCGTGCTCTGGGCAGGTCCAGCATCACATGGATTTACCAGGGAAAAATCAGAGAGGGAGAAGGAGCCTGAGCTCTGGCAGTCACTGAACTTGGCCTTTGGGGGTGTGAGGGAAAGGAGAACTTCCATTATCCCAGCCATGGGATCTGCATTAATGGGGAACTGGGACATTCACTACCTGCCCGCTCAACTAATGCTGTCCCAAGTAAACTTGTGACTGACAATGTAATTTCTTACAGAAAAACCAGTGATTTCCACCACCATGATGGTCTTTGTCATTGTGAAAAAAATTCACTGCGTTTGTACTGATTTTTTAAAATTTGCAATACTGAGTTTTTATCTCAGAATACATCAAGAAGTTAAAAAGTTTATATTTGGATTTTTTTCTTTTCTTCGTATTTCTTTCCCTATTTCTCTTGTACCTGGGAAAATATCAGGAGTTTAATCCGCAGGCATGTTGCTGCTCTATCCTCGGAGTACAGCTGGTTAAAATTCAATATATTAATTTAAAGATGCTGATGGTGCATCTTAAATATTCTCACCCCTCTACCTGATCATTAAATACACAACAAATACTTAAAATTATTCTAATTGAATATTTATTTTACTCTTAGTTGCCCATAATCTGATGTCTCTATTTAGTTCTTCAGTCAGCCCACCAGTTCTTGATTGCAAAAACCTGAATTTTTCACTTGGAAAATAGAATGTTGTTAATTCACCAAGACCTTTCTCATATGCAATATGAGAGCACAAAATGTTTTTCTTCTTCTGCAAAGCACCTTTTCAAAAAGGAATAAAATGCTTTATGAAATTTTCATCAGTGAAGTAACGAATCATCTACAAACATTTTGAATTATACAGCACTGAAGGACACAGCACCATAAATAATGTGCACAGCATCTTCCTAATTTACTATTTACTGAAAAATATCACTCCTATAAAGTGGAAAAACATCTTGAAGGGCAGATTGACTTATTTCTTGCTGCAATCACTACCAGCAAGAAATACAAATGCAAAATGAAGCAAAAATAAATGTAATTAAAATAATGCAAAGCTGACAGAGAATCATAAAATCACAGAATGGTTTGAGTTGGAAAGAACCTTGAAGATTATCCAATTCCAGCCCCCTGCCATGGGCAGGGACACCTTCACCTAGACCAGACTGGCTGAAATTGTGACCAAAAAGCAGAATTTTGGCTGCAATGGGTGCACAGCACTCCACAAGTTCATCCTTTTAATTCCAAGGGTCCTTCAGGGAGGGATGCAGGTGGTGAGGATGCTCTCAGAAAGCCAAGCTTCTGACCAGGGGGTCAAGGCTCTTCTCTTTGCCCCTGGACAACCATTCATGCTCAGTTCACAGATAGAATTAATTCCTTTGAGGTGCTTAACCAGCATTGATCTTCTGAGGAGCTGCACATCCAAATATTTGCCTGATGGCCTTCAAAAACAGTCCAGTTCTTGTGAAGGACTGGCCAAGGACTTCAAAGCAGCAGCAGAACCATCCTTAGAATGCTCTCACACCATCCAGCCTGGGCAACTCCTGCAGCCTCTGAGCTGAGGCAAAAATGCTGCCTCACCTTGCTACAGCAAAGATGAAAATAAATCGAGTTTGTGTCAGCATCACCATTCCCAGAGATAAGGGACAGCAGAGCTGAGCTTAAGGAGTGAGAGGCTCTGTGAAATTGGGATATTGAGGCTCTGTGAAAGGAAGCAAAGAAGTGCTGCAGTGGCAATTCCTGCTGCAACTCCTTGCAGCAGGAAAATCGACCTTACCCAGAACAATCAGCTGTGCCTCTGCCTCAGCAGTGTCCAGGGCAGTGCTGGCCACACATTTGTAAACTCCCTGATCCTCCAGGAGAACGCTGGATATGAACAGGGTATCCCTGTCCAGAATTATCCTGCAAGAAAAGAAAAAAAAAGAAACATAATAAGGATGAGAAAAATAAGTAAGATGAGTATGACACACAATGTTGTTCTCTGAAAAATTGTTCATAATAGAACTTGGCACAGGGCACTCTCATCAAATAGCTGCACACTGGGCCTGCTGCATTAAATGTAATTGTGGCTCTGCCCTACACTGTGCTGAGGAGTATTATTTGTGTTTTGTGGCAATTTAGCCTCCATGGCTGGAGGCTGGCCTGTCAATCCTGCTCTGAAAAGAAACACTGGATGAGCGTCTGGGCCATAGGATTTTGGCACGTCATCAATGAGACAAATATATGGGGTTTGTGATGGAAATTTTGCAAGACTGAGGGAAACTGAGCATTCCCAAGGCACTTGTGCCATGTCCCAAGCAGCAAGGAAGCTGCCAAGAATCCAAGGCCATGGGCTCCATGGCAGACATGGAGTTTCCATGGCACTGCCTCACCATCCTGCAAGGGCCCAGCAGGATTTTCAGCCTCTCCATATTTAGGGAATCATCTCTCTCCTGTGGTAATTAATAAAGACATCTGATTTCCCCCTGTGGGACCCCTCTATGGAATAAAGGCTGAGCTCCAGCCCCCTGAGGTCAATGGAAATCCAAAAATAGGGCAAAATTCAGCCTGCAAATCCTAAATTCATAGGTAGGAAAGATTCATGTCAGAATCCCTGAAACTTGTTAACCATCACATTGCAAAGACTTTGTTTTGGCTAAATAAGTGCAAACTACAAGAAAATACTGGTTCCACCGAAGTGGAGAAACAATCTGCTCTGGGGTCAGGGTTGTGGTTTTGGGTTGGGCCAACATTTATATTATACATAAAAATACAGATATGTACTATGTATATATTAATATATAACTTTATATGCTGCTATGATGATACCAGAGTTAATAAACCCAAACCCATTTGGCTCAAAACTCACATTGCTGCATTTACATTCAGATGTGTGTAAAATGCAGATCTACTCACGCAGCACATGGAGAATTCTGTGCAGACATAAATTTGCATTTCAAGCTATTAAGGCTCATGTTTAATGAAACTCCAGCTCCAGCACCACGCCAGATTATCCAGCTGAGATCAAGAACAGCCTTGTTCCTTCCCCACTCACCTGCCACCTTCTGTGCTGTTGACTGGCAGCTCAGCTCCATCCTTCCTCCAGGATAATTTAAAACTGTGCTTCAAGTGGGAATCATACTCAGCCTGGCATTTCAATAAAATGGAGTGTGATTTCAGCACTCGGGGGTTCTTCGGAGTAACAACAAGTTTTGTAGCATCTGATTGATCACAGAAAAACACTTTGATTAGGTGAGAGAGGGGCTATTACATCAAATTTTCACCAAGCACTTCATCTACACAAATCAACCTCAGGAGCAACAACCACATCTTTTTTTTTTTTTTATATACAAACATTTCAAGTGAAAGATGGTGGGGTTTGAAATAGATATTTGCCAAGATTTCGTTTTTTTTATCTTGAAACGTTTTTTTTATCTTCAAACGTTTTTTATCTTGAAACATTTTAAGTTCGTGCCAAACCAAAGAGCTCCAGAAAAAAAAAAACCTCAAAAAAAAAAAGTTACAGGTGAAAATCCTTGTTAGCAGCTTGTCATGAAATGGATGATAAAAAAAGAAAAGGCTTGAATATGATTTTTATGTCTAATTGCCATTTGAAATAAGCTTTGGCAATGATCCAAGAAAAATTACAAGCATATTAAAGTCAAGTGAGAAAAAATTATTGCAATCAAGTTTGTTCTTTTAATTGACTATAATCTGAATGCAGAAACAGATGAATAAGTAAGAAGAAAGCGTTTAGCTGAATTTATTTCTGCAGTGAAATGTTGCTCTGTGACAATTTCATTGTACATTTTCATGTTTATTAGCACTGTAAAATTCCCAAAGCCAAGGGAGTGGGTGGAAATGGAACACAATGAGTGAGCTTTTTCCTCAAGTTTGTCACAGCAAACCTACATCAGAGAGCTTTGCTAATTGAGTATTTAAGGGTTTTGTGTTTTTATTGGCAAGCCCTAAATCCTAAGCAAATTTGTAGCAAACCCACTAAATGCCACCTGTGTGCCCAACAGGAGCTGCCCACTGCCATCACACCCTCCAGGGAAAACCCCTCCTGCCAAGCAACCACACAAATCCCTCAAAGCAGAGCTGCAGCACCAGGGACAGATCTCAAATTTATAAGTAAACACATCTGAGGATTTTTATTTGCTCTGCTTAAAAATATTTATCAACAAACAGGCAAAAACCCAGCGCAAAATCCTTCAAGCAGCAGCACCCTGCAACGTGTTTGGTGGGAGTTAATCCAGTTTGGGATGTACCTTCTGATCAACAAAAGGGGAGGAATTTTAGGGAAGGGAATCCCACAGCTGAGGGAGAAGCAGAAACACATCTGGACCCCACCAAGCCCAGGAGCCAAGAGCCTGCCCTGAGTGTAACAGGGCAGTGACAAAAAGGAAGGAAAATCCTTTCCAGATAATGTGTAAATGCAAATTTTTGGTGGCTTGTGCAGCTCCTTTAAGCATCCAGAAGAAAATGAGCACTATGTGAGAGCACGGAGAAATCCAGCTGAAAAGTTAAAGGCTACACATATACGAGACCTGTGGATAATTTCAGGTTGGAATATCCAGAGAATTCCTGAAGTCACAGAGAATTCCTGAAGTCACAGAATAAATCTGTACCCTGGACTGAATATTCACTACTTTCTGAGAAACTTAGACATAAAATCTTATCAGCTGTGAAAGTTTTTTTTCTTTTCTCACCTCTTATATCCAGATTAGCAGTGATTGCTCTTTTCCCCACAGAATTGGCAGCCCAGCAGGCGTAGGACCCCGAATCCTCCTTCTTTGTGTTCCTGATCTCCAGGGTGCCGTTCTTGTTCACCTCATAGCGAAACGTTGAAAGGGGCTCTATGCTGTCATCCTTAGTCCTAAAGGTGATGAAAACAGGCCTGGGTTACTGCAGGAAGAGTCAGTTCATGGTTAGGGGTTACTACAGGGGAATTTTGGGACTCAGCTTTGCCGCTGGGCAATTTAAGTCAGGATTAGTGAGATACTTCATGCAGCAAATCATGAAGTTCTGCACATCAAACCCACAGGGACAGAGTCTAAAAAGTTCTCTAAAATGCTCTGTCTTTAATCTGCAGCTGCCGCCTGCAATTTTATTGCACCTGTCACCTGCTGTGACAATCCTGTGATTTCCAAGCCTATGGATGCATGTCCAGGTAATTGTGTTCTGTAAGTCACTGCACTCACTGCACTTCCACCTCAATAGTGTGTCCAAAATTGAAGGGTTGTCAGCAAACCCTTCAAGTTTAAACTGATGAAGCTGCAGCAGTATTTGGCTATAAACAGCATGGTTTTGTTTAATGTATGACCTGGCCTTTCTCTCAAAAATATATTGAGGACTTCCAGGAACTCTTTTTTTCCAAACCAGTTCTTCAGAATTCTCAAAAGCACATTTAAACACAGAGAATTTACATTATATACAGTTTTGTTGCAAATTTCCATTCTGAACTCCATAGAAATTATAATTAGCAGACTTTTCAAACGTGGGAAAGCCTGCAGGAACTTGTTTCACGTTAAACAAAACCCAATTTCCAGGATCTTACCATCTGACATCTGCTGCAGGTGAGGCAAAGATGTCACAGTGCAGGAAGGCGCTGTAACCCACGACTGTGGCGTAGTTTTCCTCATCTGGGGTCAGTATCAGGGGGGCAATATCTGCAGGAGAGAATTCAGAGTGAGCAGCACTGCATGTCAAAACTAGGAATATAAATATTGGCCCTGCACCCTGCCCTTTCCCAGCAAGGGTGAGAGGCTGAGGTGTTTAATGGGAATTTCACAGCTGTTTGGAAGAGTTGCACTGAGCAGCTGAGATCTCAGAACCTTCACTGACAGATAACCTGGGCTTACTGCTGGACATGGCAGAATTTGAAACATCCAGGAGAGAAAATAGATCCTGTTCTGCTGCCTCCAGAGATGTCTTTTATTAAATAAATTCCCCTCACTCTCTTTCTTCAAGGAACAGACTAAGCATCACAAGTGAAATAAAAGATTAAAAATACACTTAATAATTCAAAACCAGCGTTGTGGCCACAGTTCAGTCCCCAGACACAGTGGTTTCACTGTGCTTGAATTCAAGTCTTTGAGCCCAACCACAACCACATTTTTAAAATATTCCAAAGCTCAGCAGTGCTTGTGCTAAGCACATCACACTGCCCATGATAAAA